GTGTGTGTGTGGTCTCTTATTGTTGCTTTGTGTTGTTCATGTTATTTGCCGAATGTATAGAATGAGAATGGGGAAGCGATTTCATGTTTACTGACTGTTGCGTTGGATAGTTTTTCGCTGGAGCGTATGAGTGAGGAAACGATTAAGGAACTGAAAATTGAGACACAGATGACGGTTTATGTTCACATATGTTATGTATTTATACTTTCTGTGCTTCCAGCTCTTACCTGCTTAGGAAGTTGGAAGATGTTCATCTGCATCATTTAGAAACCTACTTACGTACACAGTCATACCCAAAAGGGGAAGAAGAAGGGCGAGGAGGATGCGCTCAGCAACCCCACTGCTGCCAAAGGAGAAGTCAATACTGAACGGCGCAAGGCCACAAAGCATAAATAACACGGTGAGTGCAAGTGACGCACAAAACCCCATTGGATTCTAATCTTCAAGAGCCCGTGCTTCTAGTGCTTGCCGCTCTGCTTGCTTCCTTTATTTTTTTGCGCATACTGGCTGCTGGTGGGATCACTCTGCGATGTCATTCGACCACTGCAAGTGGTAGGACCCTTGTGGGTGTTGCGCATTGTCTTGGCTTTCTTGCCCACTCTGTACGGAGAAGTTGCTTTGCTGCCTCGTCGCCATGAGGGAGGTGGCAATCCTTGGCCCGAACGTGCGTGGATGTATGTCGGCTACGGTGTGCTGTGCGGCCTTAATGTGGTCATCTTTCTCTTTTTCAGCCCGGCGCTTCTGCGCGTCATCTCCTACCTGGGCGAGAAGACATTGTACACTCCCTCCCCCGTGTAAGCAGAGCTGTCAGGCGCATGTTTTGGCAGACTCCGCCGCCGTGCTAGATCTTCGTCATAGTACCAGGATCAGCATTCAACACAATCTTTTTTCTTGTCGCAGTTGTGACGATGGGGTGTTTTCATTGGCTCACTCCTCGTCGCAGGGAATGCCATGGGTGTCGTGCAGCCCACGTACACCAACGCTTGCCGTGCTTGAGGGCACGAGTCGGAATTAGGACAACTAGGGGTTGCCACAAGAAAACAAGTTGGTTTTATGCTTTGGTCTAGGAAGGTGGCATCGGCGGGTGCTGTATCGATGTAATAACATACCGCAAAAGGACAGTAGATCATCTGCCGTGTATTTGTTATTCCCTTGTGTGTGTGTGTTTTTTTTTGAATCTGTGCGTGTGTGTTGCCATCCCTGGCAATTACATTATATTATTGATGTTTTTTTTTCTCTCTTGGATGCGTCACGCACACGTGTATGCGTCCGCGTCACTCCGCTTTCTCTATGTATGTAGTGATTTTTCTACTGCGGGGTGACGAGAATCTTCCTTACACACATACAAGGAGGAGAGAAGCAAAGAAAAAAGGAGTAACTTGAGAGCGCCAAAGGAAGTGTATAACGAGAGCGAATTCATGTCACCTGACCCTCCTCCCACTCTAATATTTGGGTATGGCTCCATCCTGTGGAAACAAGAGTTTGAGCACCGCCGCAGCTTTCCGTCGTGTATCCCCGGCTACAGGCGTGTGTTTTATCAGGGCAGCACAGACCACCGTGGGGTGCCTGGCAAACCCGGACGCGTGGTGACGCTACTCCCAAGCGATGCGCCCGACGCATGGGTGGCAGGTGTTGCGTATGAACTGCCATCGGAGCCCACCGTGCGGGCGGCAATCCTAGCCCAGCTTGACCATCGTGAGCGTGGCGGGTACGAGCGCGTGGAGGTTACATTGCATAACCTACACAGCCATGAGCCAATTGCGTTGCCGCAAGGGGCTGTGTGTTTGTGTTACATGGCGACAAAGGAAAACAGTGAGTATTTGGGAGCAGCGACTGTGGAGAGTATCGCGGCGCAGATATTGGAAACTGCGGGGGATAGTGGTCCAAACTCGGAGTATCTTCTCAACCTTGCCGCAGCTTTGCGAGCCTTGCAGGCGACAGATGACCATGTTTTTGCAGTTGAAGCAGCCGCACGACGATTACTCAAGTGTGGCGGGGAATATTGAAGTTAACAATTTCTTTGCATCTTCTTTCCCATCTCGTTTACTTGATTGAGCAAACTGGAATATAATATTATTGTCGCCCGTGGTGTACACCTCAGCGCTCAGCAAGATATACCAAAGAGAGCAGCACCTAGTTGTTTGTTGTTATTATTCTCTTGTATTTCATTGATTCTCTTTTATTTTTGCGTGTGAAAGGAGAAGAAGAGGAGGAGGAGGAGGAGGAGGAGGAGGAGGGAGGGGGGGAGGGAGTAGTACGTGATGCTGACGCCACAAGTCACAGACGGGGAGTGCAGAGAGGAGTTGCGCACCGCCATCTTTCGTGTGCGGCTGCTGCTTGCATTGCATGGGCTTACGGACGCCGATGACCATGATGGGCAGGAGAGCACAGTGCCCGCGGGGCCAATGCCACTGTCATCGCTGCGGGAAAGCACCGCGTGTTTCTACAGTAACGCCCTCCGCTCCGTGGACCTCGAGGATGGAAGCAGTGAGAAGTGTCAGTTGGACGGGAACAAAGTGCTGGGGCACACGCGTGACACACATAGCGAGGGGATGGAGGAAGAAGAGCGAGAGAAGTTCGTTGTCACACAGGCCTTGCCGCTTCCACCGCTGCGCTGGCTCTTCCCGACGCTGCAGCAGCGACTGGAAGCAGTGGAGAAGAGACGAAGTAGGCGACAGAAACGTGCCGGCCGTATCCCGAAGCGAGGTTGGTTTCGAAGTAATCCTGTCGCCGCAGCTGCAGCCGTCGTGTGTGGTGATATTGATGACTCCAATGATGATCATCAGGAGGAAAACAGTAGTCATCATGCACGCACGAGCATTTCCTCCACTCTTACCTTGACGGGTGATCACAGTGACAGAAGCAGCTCACAAGACACATACTCGGTGTCCCATGCCTCTACTGATGATGTCTACATTCATAAATTGGCACATGAGCATGGGTCGCCCCTCAATACCTCCAGCACCGTTCATCGCCGTTGGGGTTCTGCATCCATTACTGCTGGAGGTACACGTGCAAATTTTTTATCGAGTCCTTCACTACCACAATCGGCGGTGCCTGCTTTTGTTGGTGCCTGCAGCGAGAGCACGGCGATCACAGCACAGATGGAGTTTGATAGAATTGGCACAGGCAAAGAGGCACCATATACGTCGTACCTTTTTTCGCCTGAGGCGCGTATTGTGGACCTGAGCACGCTGCTTGTAGCCACCGACAAGAGGCATGAAACTGACAAGCATAAGGCTGCTGCGGATGCTTGTAGGGGCGATGGATGCACGCGAGTGCGTTTCTCCCCAGAGGGAGATTGTTATATTGTAGGCACGGAACGGGGCAAGTTGTGGTTTGTGCAGGTGACTGCCAACCCGGGCGGCGTCATCACAACCACTGCTGGGGCGCCGCTCCTGCTTCAGGGCCACAGCGGTGCCGTCACAGATATTGCCTTTGATGATGTGGGCACATGTTTTGCTTCCGCGGGGGCTGACGCCTGCGTTATATTGTGGAGTCAGCGAATGCCGACCAAGGTCCGCCGTATCAACACCGATGGTGTTGTGCCTGTTGCAGTTCGATTTATGCCAAAGAACAACAACTACATTATAGTTTCACTTCCGCAGCAGCATCTGCTTTGTCTCTACAACACCTCCACCGGTTTTTCTGTGACGCGCAAGGGGCAGCTCATACGTGTGCAGGCCACAGCGTTGGCAGTGGAGCCCTGCACCGATCCTTTTCTTTTTTTAGGAGACGCTAACGGGGCCATCACCGTTTGGCGGTGCCGCGTGAGCAGCGTTGACGGTGTGGCATGCCCCTCCGTCGTGACGGTGGATGCAAAAGAAGCAAGGCAACGACGGCGGCCAGACAACATATCTCAGTCGTCGCTGTTACAAGCATCATATTCCTTCAAATCAACAGCGCCGCCACCATCTTTATTGCGTAGTGTAGCAATGGCGGCAGGGTCATCCGCAGTCAGAGCACACAGCAAAAATGAAAGGCGACGAGAGCTTGTGGCGACCTCAATAATGGAGGGTCAGCCGCAATTCGAGAAGATAGCGGGGTGCATTGTGGAGAAGGGGACACCCGTAGCATCTTTGGTGGCGAGTTCCATGAATCACCAACAGTTTCATTGTCTTTTACGTGCTCAACACACGGGCCAAGAAATCCCTGAGAGAAGCACAGTCAAAAAGTGGGCAGCAGCTGCACTCGGAGGTGGATGGCCACTAAATAAGGTAAAAAAGTTATCTACCCAAACGGATGCTAAAATTTCATCCCGGACAGCCTATGCCATGATGTTGCTTGCCTCATTTACGCAGGATCGATTGGTAATTCTTTCCGTTCAGCCAAGCAAATCTACTCCTCGGGAATACAAGCTGATTCCTATGCTAAGTATGACAGGCACATGTCGTATCCGCCAAATGTCAGTAGGTACTTCCTTTTGTGTGGACAATATGCGCTGCCCCACAATCTCGTGTACCTGTGAAGAAGGGTTTGTTTACATCGTCGCCTGTACACCGGCACGCCCATTTGTTTTGAAGGAAGAGACCACGAAGAGAAGTTGCCCCACGGCATCCAGGCCAGTTCAGTGGAGCGTCATGGCAACTCTGCCGGTGCCATGTGGCGGTATTCCGCGCAGTCTAGCATGGTCGCCCGATATGGGCCTTCTTGTGGCGGTGACAGAAGAAGGCATGTTGTATGAGTGGCGGCGCGTCCACCTGCACCACGATGAGTTTTGGCGCAGCGGTGAGGAGCCTTATCGCGATGACGATGACTCCACCGGTGTCCCCCGCACTCTGGATGAGGCGGAAGAATGGCGTATTTGTTTGCATCGGGAAAGAGAACGACAAATGCGCCGCTACCGCGCACACGGGGGAACCGATGAGTCTGGCGACAGTTCGTTGGGCGGCTTAAACGATTGGTGGAAGGGAAGCGGGGATTCCATGAGCCAAAGTTGGGGGCAGTCGCCTCCGTAAGTGGAGGAAGAAAAAGGGAAAAAGGCCCGATACCGTATTGGTGGCGATGTATGTAGCACTTTGCTCAGTTGTTTATTTCTTTCAAATTGCGGTCTATTCTCTTTCTTTGTTTTGTTGTTACGCCTGTGTGGAGAGTGACGGCCCCCCATCGCGTGAGCGCGTGCGGGTTTGTCGTGCCGCACGAACTCGAGTGACACCATGAAGAGCCTTCTGTTTGTTCAATTTATTTATTTATTTATTTTTTAGGGAATAGGGACGAGAGGGTTCATTGAAACTAAAGCAGCGGAAAGGAGGAGGAAGAAATGTTGGGCAGGACGCGTTCTTGTCGCAACACATTTCTTACAAAATCGGTGGCGACTCCGCCGATTTCAGTGATTCGTACCGGGCCAACGTGGTGGGCAGATCCAGAGCGCATGGTGCGGCAGAAGCTCATGTATTTTACTCTAGGGGTCGACCAACTTCCGCTGCGTCGCACGGCGGTGATCCAGAAGGATTTGCACCGTTTCCACATGTGCAAGCCTCCCATTCGTATAGGCGACACCACCGGTTACAAGCGGTCTCGCGCGGCACAGTTGACAACGTGGTACCGCCGCATTCAGTACCAGGAATACTATCTGCAGCACCTTTTTACGCGGCATGTGTGGGGTTTGGTGCGCGTGTACCCTGGCAATACGACGAAGATACAAGGCAAGGCCGACGACGGCTATGTTGGTTACGACGCGGTCCCGTACCACCGCTACAACCGCGCCCCACTTCCATTTCCAGCCCGTGAGCTTTATCCGAGGAGAGAATAAAAGAAAGGAAGTATAAAAGAAGAATTGCCACCAGGTTCAGTGACCCACGAACGAGAACTCAAATTCCGCGGAAAAGTTCTTATCTTACAAGCAAACCCAAAAAAAAAAAAAATTGCCGTATTCTTATTTTGCGCCCACTAAATGACCAGTGCCATCCACTGATTTTTCTTCCCCGCCCACCCAACCCCCTCTCTCTAGTTTTCTAGCGGAAGGGCGTCGTGGCGGGAAGGGCTTTTTTTAAACCTTTGCCGTGCCAGGGATTAGTGCCGCGTCGTGCGGGGGAAACCAAGAGCCAGCAGCGTTTCTCCTACCAGACCATTGCTGGCGCAGGGCTCACGGCATCGGCCAACAGCCACGGAGCAACCGCATTCAGTCACGGCACAGTACTTCACACTGAAGTCTGGAGGCGCGTGTTGCCATGCAGTCGGCAGCGCTTCCCGCACCACGCGGCAGCTGAATGGCGGTGTAGGCGAGAGTTCTGGCCTTTGCTTGCGGGGGGCTGCGGTGGAGCGTTGCGGGTCTCGCGCAGGCGAGGCTCGGATGCCGCCCCACCCAAGCAGGTAGCTTCGGCTTGTTGGGGTTTCGGCACTACTACAGCGTTGCTCGCACCTGTCGAGGCGGCGGTAGGAATGGAGCTGACGGTGTCGCCGGCGTGGAGTTGGAGAAGCTGCCCTGCGCAGACGCCGAGGCAAATACAGTGGATTGGGGTCGCGATATTCCACCTGGATCCCGCGGCAAGATCATTGCGCGACGGTGCATTGGGAGAGGCTTCCAGGTGACCAACGCGGGCGGCTGCGCAGGATTGGTCGACGGACGCCGCGGCTTGGCCCCCGACACTATTGCCGTGTCTCTCCCAATTAGACGGCAAAGCCCTCGCCAGACAGCGGCCACCACATCATTGCATTTGACGTAAAGATTGTGGGGGCGATGGCGCGTCCCGCTGGGCTACTGGGGCCTTCCCGAAGTTTGTCTACGCGGGGGGAGGCCAACCAGAGGAAATATCGCCACACGGCCAATCAGCTCCGCAGGATTCCACGGGGCATGGGGGCAACGTGGGCGGCGCAGAACAACGAATTACGCCGAGCAGACGGGGGGCCGCCAAGGTGGCAGTCCCGGCAGACAGTCGCCGGAAGCCGTCGTTTTTTGGACCCCGAGCTGACGGAGTTAGACGGTGTCGCGGCCAAAAGCCGCTGGCTCGCGGTGCGCCGCCTGCACGCTCCTCTCGCCCTGAGAGTGCAACGCCTTAAGGACAGGTGGCACCGCGCTCGCTACGCTCCATAAAGCAGAAGAACCTCGTGGGGGGCGTATGCGGTGGAAGCGAGGAGGCGCCCGGGGATTTGCGCCACCCCAACAGGAGGCCTTGTACGGGGACAGCCCCACAGAGCTGGCACCGTAGAGTCACCATGCCCTCCTTGACTCGGGGAAAACTGCTCCCGAC